ATTCTCTGAGGAGGAATTGTACTATGCATATATCTTAGCTTTCAGAACACTTGCATTACTCATGTAGAAATTGTTACACACGCGGGTGTGTGTGTGCGTGTGCTTCACCAAGAGTTAAATGTTATATTAAACCTTATTATATGCCTACAATTGCACTCAAATATGCCCAATCTTAAGAAATTTAAATGAAGTTATTAAACTTTTTAAAATCCCATTTTTCTGTTTTCGTAAAATATCCCGTAAAATGAAATTAAAATCCATCTACATACCATACCTTGGTAACAGCCCCGTGCTGTTACCATTATCGTTATTATCAATACTCTTCACAGATTTCCAAACCGGCAAAACCATTACAATAAGTAATTCAAAAGCATCAGTGAGTCTTAAGCCGCATTTCTACTCTTTTCCGCGTTTCTTTGTTTTCCCTTTTTTTCGCTTTAAATGTTAGAGCATTTCTTATTATTAATTTATTGCGCAATTTTTCAATCTTTTGCATATTCATCGTATTTTAACGCATTATCTACTTCCACTTTTTCTCACTTCTCTAATTGCAGGGTTTTTTCTCTTCATTTTGTTTAAATATTTTCCTCTGAATGCTTCAGGTTACAGTTCATATTCTATACTCGACAGCTGTTTCAGACAATAATCCTCGCAAATATTTCTCGCCAAAATAATTAAAGGTGTGCATTTTACATTTTACATTCCACAGGAATCACCGGCGATAACTAGATATTTTGACTTTTGGATCATAATTACCAGCACATAGTTATCCAACTCATCTAATGGACGGTTGTCGGGGAATAGGATATGAACGAAAGCAATTAAATAGACTCATGAGAATATGAAATCAGTGAGATGAATAGTAGTAGCGGGATTTATTCAAACGCATACGGATTGAACGAATGCAATTATATAACTAATAGATATGTATTATGACCGAGGGATGTAATAATAACTTATTACTGCTGACTCCTTTAACCAAAAATTTCGACAAACAAATGTAGACTTGCAACCGAGAGTGGTAACACCTGTAAATAAAGTATCTGATTCACTGGTAATTTCGAAATACATATTCTAATGGTATTGTCGATTTGGAGGTCTGTGGAGAGTATTGATAACGATAATGGTAAAAGCAGCGGCCATGCCAACAAAATAAGTACAAACATGGAAAGAAAAAGGCTAGTACTTTATATTTTTCCCAGGATTTCTCTTTATCTTAAACTTAGTTAATATGAAAGATAGGTTGATTTTTTCGTTTTACTGGATATTTTAGGATAATAATTTTTGAAGGAGCCAAGAAAAGAGGTATTAAAAAAAAAAATGGTAATTTCATTTTCATTTTTAAAGATTGGACATATTTCAGTGCAATGGTAGACATACAGTAATGTTTAATACATCTCACTCTTTAAGTGAAAGTACACACAAACATACACACAAATATAAGTATGTAACATTACATACACAAGTGTAATATGTGTTTTTCTAAAAGCTACAATATAAATCTAATGAAATTTGTTTATGCTACCCATGTCCCCGTGGTGTAGTGGTTAGCACGGTCGCCTCCTACGCGACAGACTCGGGTTCGATCCCCGACGGATACCAAAAGGCAAGAAATTTTATGCCTGAATTTGTTTGCAGTTCTATCTACTTACCTTCCTTTCCATGCATCTTTCTACTCTTGTTTCTGTCTCTTTCTCCGATGTTTACAAAGCGAAGGAGTATGAAGGAATTGGAGCGTTTGATTTTGTATTTTTTTTATTTGCTTGGTTGTTTGTTAGTGTTTATGCACGTTTTCGTAATTTTGGTGTTAGTCCTCCCATAATCATATAATTGTATTAGTAATATGAGAAACAAAGAATGGGAGGAGGAAGAACAGGACGAACAAGTGTTGAAGAGAAAGAAATAAAACGAAGAGAAAATAGGAAAGGTGGAAGGAAGGATAGCGGCAAAAGAAGAACCAAACTTTGTTTTATTGTATGTGTGTTATCTTGGTTCCACTTTGTTTCGGATAAGAAATGCGATTTCACAGGAGGGAAGAATTTATCTCTTTTTGCAGTAGCTTGATAATTACCTATATATTTTGAAAGATTTGTTGTCACTGTAGTTCGCAGTGTCACGGAAGGAGGGAATGCTACTTATGGCCCGTATGGAAATAAATTACAAAGTAGACAAACCAGACAGTCAGCTCCCAAGGTGTGAAATGCTACTACTATTGCATTAAGACAGCTGGATCCTATGCTAAGCGTATCTTCTTATTTGTAGCGTATGAGATGTAATTCTTGTTTATATTCCATTTTATTATCTGTTTCTACGTGTGAAATGATTTTTTTTAATTCACCTATAATATTTCTTGTTTACTTCTCATTTTATACTCTCTTCCGATTAAACTATATTTTCAGCAATGTTTTTTTTATCAATCATGAGATTAAAGCTAATGAAAACTATTTTTTTGTATTTATGATTAATCAGATAATGATCAGTGTATTAGTAATTCATAACA